ATTCTTCCACATAAGCTGCAGGCAGCTCTGGAGCATGTGCTGGACAAGAGAAGGGAGCTGGCCTGTGAGAAAGGAGATCTACCCAATGGTGACTTGTCATACTTGTTATTTCTTGCATATATAATGTGGGTTTTCGGGTTTTTTAGTGTGTAAACAGAATGTACTATGAGCAAGAAAGTTTTCACAGGACTAGCAGAACCACCTTTACCAGCAGTAACTTGAAGTAAGCATCTTTAGTGTGACTTTCAGTCTCTCGGGGAGGAATTTTGGCCACTGTCCTCTTCAGTGTTGCTTCATTTCATGGAGGTTTGCGGGCATTTGTTTATGTACAGCTCTCTTAGGTCCTGCCACTGCACATCACTCAGGTTGAGGTCTGGACTTTGACTGGACCATTGCAACATCTTAATTCTTTTCTTTGTCAGACATCCTGTTGTAGATTTGCTGCTGTGCTTGGGATTATTGGCCTCAGTTTCTGCCAAGCTTTAGTTGTCAGACCGCTGGCTGTGCATTTGACTTTACAATACTTAATAACTTCCACCACCATGTTTGACAGTTGGTATGAGGTGTTTGTCTTGATATACTGTGTTTGGTTTTCATCAAACATGGTGCTGTGTGTTATAACCAAACATGGTAAAAACACGCTCTTGTCTGTCCAATAGACATTGTTCCAGGAGTGTTGTGGGTTGTTCAGGTGCAGCTTTGCAAATCAAAACTCTGCCATCATTTTCCTTTTAGAGAGGAGAGACCGTCTTCTGGCAACCCTTCCAAACAAGCCATACTTGTTCAATCTTCTAATTGTACTGTCATGAACTTTAACATGCAACATGCTAAATGAGGCCTGAAGAGTCTGAGATGTAGCTCTTAGTCTTTTGGCAGCTTCTCTGAGAACAACGTGGTCTGAGGTGAATTTGCTGGGGTGTCCACTCTTGCCAAAACTTGTGCTTTTATAGAGGTGCTCACAAGAGTGCATTTGATTAGTAACTCTTGGCTACTACTTAACGTCTTAATTCTTATGAAAGCAGTAAGGGTGCATCTAAGTACTGCATAAAGTCCTGTGGAAACTTTCTTTTTTACATTAATTGCCACTGCCTTCTTTTTAAGTGATATTAGTCCGCACAAATCTCTGGTTTAGAAAGCTTTGAAGTGTTTTCATTACCAGTCATATCTTCCTGGGTTTCATGTAATGAATATTATGTACCACAGCTCAAATGTTCATTGCTAGCTGTTTTCCAATGAAATATATTATCATTCTGCAACTTGATCATAGTTTTGTGGTACACCGAAGAACTTTTCCAAGAGAACATTCCCATCTTTTCCCCTAAAATTTTTAATATGACTGGACAGCTTCATTCCAGTATTCAAGTTTTTCCTCCTTAATAATTTACCTTTAGCATTAAAGGGTCCTTGAAGTATGACGAAATTCAAAGTAGAAATGTTGTGGTTAAAAATACAAAACCATAAATGTGGTGTAACTCTGCATAAATCTCATGTTCTTTGTGGTCGCAAAACCTTTCCAACAGAGTTCACTCCAACACTGCTGGAACATTCAGTCTAACCAAAGTCTGTTTCTCAAACTAGATCAAGATCTAGATCAGTGTAAATACTTTGAAGTAGTCTGTGTGAAACAACCTTGTATGTCTTCTGATGTGTAGCAGTTTTTTGTTGTAATTGTTTTTGGGGGTGGCTAATTTTTACCCCTCTTCTCCTATGCGTTTCTCTGCCAGACTCTAGCTCGCTGAGCACAGTGGTGTCGGAGGCTTTTGTTCGTTTCTTCGTGGAGATGGTGGGCCACTACTCCCTCTTCATGGGTGGAACAGAGCGGGAGGAGGAGTCTGTCTCCTCCACCACCTTGCCCAGCCCCACTTCTTCCTCATCCTTTCAGCGTGAGGCCTTTCGCAAAGCAGTCACTTCCAAGAGTTTGAGAAGGTTTCTGGAGGTGTTCATGGAGACTCAGATGTTCACCGGCTTCATCCAGGAGAGAGATCTGCGCAGGCAAGGCCTCAGAGGTAATAAGCTATGAGCAATGTTAGTGCACTTTAACATTGTTAAAGTGTATCTGCTCCTTTGTGCAAGTAGGAACAGGATGAGCACTGCCAGAGCTACAAGATAACCTAGGCTACTCCACTGGTATGAATGTCTCTGCCTAAACAATCAGAAACAGAGTTCATGAGGATGGCCTGAGGGCTTGATGTCCTGTAGTCTGCTCTTTGCTCGCTGCCCGACTGTCATTTGTTGTAGAGTACCAGAACTGGCAGGTCCTGTGCCCTGTGCTTTTCACAGATGAGCACATGTGACTGATATGAAAGGGTCTGGAGAAGCTGTGGAGAATGTTATGCTGCTGTAACGTCATTCAGCATGACCGGTTTGGTGTGGGTCATTGACGATCTGGGGGGGTGTATCCATGTAGAGTTCTAGAGTCTAGGAACAGCAACGTATCTGCCATTATGTATCAGGATAAAATCCTTGGACGTATTGTCAGTCTCTACGCCGGTCCTGGACAATGCCCAGCCTCATGTGACAAGAGTATGTGGTTAGTTCTTGGAGGATGAAGGAATTGATACCATGGACTGACGCTCGCCTGACCTAAGTCCAAAAGAACACCACCAGGTTGCACTTCAGACTGTCCAAAAGTAATGCCCCAGTCCATATCTGGGAGGCAATCCCCCAGGACACCATTTGTCATCTGATTAGGAGCATGCCCTAACATTATCAGGCATGAATACAAGCACATGTGTGCCATACATACTGCTGAGTACCATTTTGAGACTGCAATGAAATTTCAGCAAAATGGACTAGTCTGCTACATCATTTTTACACTTTGATTTGCAGGGTGTCTTTGAATTCATTTCCATCAAAGGATGTGGGGATGTTAGGAGTGAAAGACATGATTTCATTCATACCCCATCACTCGGCCCATATTCGTACAGATATCCAGCAGTTAGTTTTTTTTATTGAGATCTAGAGTGTTGCTTTTTTGAGCAATGATATTATGCGATGTGATATTATGCTTTTTTTGGCCAAAAAAATTAAGAAAATGAGAAGTATCAGAAACATTTCAGTGCACTGATGATTCGGACTTTGCTCTGACTTCAGTGTGAACTTGTAGTTACATTTTGTATACCACAGCACATTTGACGAGTTCTTTTTTCCCCCTCCAGGTCTCTTTGAGGTGAGAGCACAAGAATATTTGGACTCGCTGCCTGGGAGTGAGCAAAGAGGGGTCAACAAGTTCCTGAAGGGCCTAGGTGAGAGTCTCTGCACAGCCTCAGGCAGTCAGCTTATCAGCTGATCAATTCATCATCTGTAAAATCCTCCAGTTTTTCTTTATGGAAACATGCTCTTTGTCTCAAATGTGTCTTCATGTAGATATGTTGCTTTTTCCAGGAAACAAGATGAAATTCCTTTCCAAGAAATGAGACTGGGAGTCATTGCTGAAAGCAGAACTAAAAGGAGGTGCAGTCCCTGGATACAGAGCATGCACAGATGGAGATGTGTCTTTGGGTTACAACAAATGAAGACCCCTGAATGGAACTGGACTCATATGTAGTGCTTAGCATAAAGAGCTGGTTTAGCTCTCAGCTTCATCGCCGACGATTCTGTCAGTGTTGAATGGAGTTTACTTAGCGTGCTCCAAAACTCCCCACAAACACGATAAAGCAACAGTGTCTGGTCTTACAGTCTAAATGTTTTACAGATTACACTAATCTCCTACAGTGTATTACAGTATAACACAGTGTAAATGTCTTAGGAACAGTGTTCTCATCACTAACTTCAACTGTAAACCTGTAAGGAGGAGTGTCCCTTAAGATCCAGTTTTGTATAATATTGTCCTATACATTCCATGTATTTTCTATAGGAACTTCTATAAATGCAATAGTACAACTTCTTTGTCAACAGGAGGCTGTTAAGTTAATTTATATTGCTTTTTTGTTTTTTTTAGACCAACTTAATCTCTTGTTTTAATTTCTTTTAAATGAGTCCAAAGGAATCTCCTGTAGTTTCTAATACACTTTATTTAACAGAGTCTAGACTGTTTGTAGACCACTTTGGATTGTTGGGTATACGTGCCACTGTTTTAATTAAATGTACTGTTGATGGACACTATTGTACCGATAAACACGTACTGATCAAAAGGAAGTCAATGTGAATATGCCTGTCAGTAAAGGATGTGGGCCTCAGCTGATGAATTGTGTTTGTCTTAGGCCAATTAGTATCAGTACGTTTCACAAAAACAACTAAGGTTGCCTTAATATGATCGAACATACAATGAAACTTCATAAATAAAGTGATTTGATTTAGACAAACGACTCCTGTTTTTCAAATCCCATTCCTGTGTTTTGGCAGCTTTACTCAATTAATCCATCATTTTCTGTTTATATTATCACTTTTTTGAAGACATAAAGTTATGAAGTGGTTTCAGTCTCCACTGACTAGCCAACAAACCAGTGTAATTTCTAAGAGGTTTCAGATTCAGACTTTTCTTTACATTATAGAAACTTATATATACACACAGGATGCTATCTAAGAATTTGGCAGGAGCCATTGCATGAGCAAGAAACTTAGCCAGTCTTCTAGATCTATGCGGTTTTTAAAAGTTAAACACAGATGCTATAAAACTGACAATATGAAGATCAATATGAAGATCTGTTTATCTCTCTCTTTCTCATATCTATCTATCTATATACATATACATATATATGTATATGTATACATATATATATAGAAATATATCCAAGAAAGGATCTCCAGTATGAAGTGTTGGACAGCATCAGGCCCCCACATGGTTCACGCCTACTGGCTGAAGAAGTTGACTGCACTCCACGATAGTCTGGCAGTACCACAGAACCAGCTGCTAGTCGATGAGAGACACCCAGAATGGCTAACCAAAGGCCGGACAGTCCTGATCCCCACGGACCCCCAGAAGGGACCAGTCCCATCCAACTACCGGCCAATAACCTGCCCAAGTGCCACAAGCTCCTGTCAGGCATCATAGCGGTAAGATGAATGGGGCACAATACATGAGAAGGGCCCAGAAAGGAATTGGCAAGAATACCAGAGGTGCAAAACACTAGCTACTGGTAGACCAAGCAGTCAGCTGAGACTGCAAGACTAGGCTGACCAAGCTGTGCACTGCCTGGATTGATTACAACAAGGCCTATGACTCGATGCCCCACACCTGGATCCTGGAATGCCTATACAAGATCAACAGGACCCTAAGAGCTTTCTCAAGAAGCCCATTGAGTTCTCAGGAACTCAATGGGGATGTGGTATACAACACTAGAGGCCAACTTCAAGCCCATAGCACAAGTCATCATCAAGTACGGGATCTACCAAAGGGATGTGCTGTCCCCACTGCTGTTCTGCACAGGCCTGAACCTCCACAGTGAGATCATGGACAGGACTGGCTACGGATACCGACTACGGAATGGAGCAATCATCAGCCACCTCCTCTGCATGGATGACATCAAGCTGTATACCAAAAGTGAATGAGACACAGAGTCACTGATCCACACCACCAGGACTGTACTGAAAGACAGCACGGATGCACTAATCGTGGCAGCACAGGAACAAGCTCTGAGCACAAGATCCATAGAGGCTGGGGTCTATCACACCAGGCAAGACCCCAGGTGCAGGCTGTGTAAAGATGCCCCTGAGACAATCCAGCACATAACAGCAGGGTGCAAGATGCTAGCAGGCAGGGCATACATGGAACACCATAACCAAGTGGCCGGCATGTGTATACAGAAACATCTTTGCCATCTATGGCCTGGAAGTCCCTAGGTCAAAATGTAAGATGCCCCCTAGGGTGGTCAAGAATGACCGAGTTAAGATCCTGTAGGACTTCCAGATACAGACAAACAAAATGGTGATGGCCAACCAACTGGACATAGTGGTGGTAGACAAGCAGAGGAAGACGGCCGTAGTGATAGACATAGCGATACGAAATGACAGCAACGTCTGAAAGAAGGAACATGAGAAGCTGGAGAAGTAGCAAGGGTCAGAGAAGAGCTCGAGAAGATGTAGATTGTGAAGGTAACAGTAGTCCCAGTGGTAATCGGAGCATTCGGTGCAGTCACTCCCAAGCTAGGCGAGTGGCTCCAGCAGATCTCAGAAACAAATCCGAGATCTCTGTCCAAAAGAGCACAGTCCTTGGAACAGCTAAGATACAGTGCAGGACCCTCAAGCTCCCAGGCCTCTATTAGAGGACCCAAGCTTGAAGGATAGACCGCCCACAGGGGCGAAAGGGGAATTAAAAAAAAAAAGTTTCAAAATCCTATGTAACCTTGTTTTGAAGTTATTGCATTTACAAGATTTTCAGAAAACGACCTCTCACCTTGACCTTGACGTCACTGAGATTCAAGATTTTTAGTAGATACACCTACAGTATCGATTTAGAGCTACGTCGCTTCATTCTCAAGTTAACCTATTTGCAAACTTGGGTGTCCATGTCACTCACCAACAGCCTTTTACAGCTGGGGGGTGAAAAGGTTTTTATTTGAGGAAAAATGCTTCTTTGGTGTCACTCTATTTGGCTGCTCTATTACAGCATGACATAAACTGTACAGCTGTGTGGTTCTTTCGGGTGACACAAAATGTTATCTAGAGCTGTCACTGATCTGTGGTGCTGAAGCAGAGCTTTGGACATCTTAAAATAGAAGCTCAAAATACTGAGAGGACAGCATCATATGGCTTTTATCACCAACATCACACACTTTTTTTATTGTTGTTGTTAATGTTTGAAACAAAAATTACATTGCGCCTAATTTGACATTGCCTCTGCTTTCTGTGTACTTATACATAACCAGGACATCACCAAGAGGGAACTGTTCCTGTATTAACAAGTGCTGCTTGTCCAAATGAACATGACTGTGAGTCTTAAAAACAGTACGGCTAGAATAAACCCCAGGTTACAACCTTTAGAGAAAACTGTGATGTCTTTCCAGGGAACGAACACATCGCACCACCCAGAATGTCCAGCAGGGGGCTCTGTTATCCAGTTCACGTTATTCCGCATATGTAGCCTTGGAAGAGTCCAAAGTTCAGAATTACATCTCAGACAATTATGCCTCCAGGCCTTTAATGACTTGCACAATATACCCGAGTCTAACAATATTATCGCCTTTTGGTCTGATCATGTGACATAATAAGCAAACTAGAGCTGAAAAGCAAAAGGTTACAAGTTATATGGGGGGGGGGGGACTTTTGAAAAATACATAGCCATCTTGGATAGACATTAATATGGGCAATTTATTTTTAAAGACATATTTAATATTGTTTCTTTAGTATAATAAGACATAAGGCTTGGAGAGTATAAATTTAATAGCAGCGCTTAAGGTAGCTTTATCTGTTCAGGTGTATCACAAGTGATAGAAATACGGTGGATAAAGTATAAGCACTTATTATTCAACAAGTCAAAGTGCAATAGTGATTCTTTATAGTAGGCAAAAAAAATGTTGAGCCCCTATAGTATGGATCTGAAATAATACATTTGTGGTAACAGTCGTTCATTGTACCTGATATAAAGCTTAATAAAATTTGAAGGATTAATGTCATGTTCTTCCACCTTTCCTCTCCTTTCTGAGCCCTCCTCCCTCCTCTTCCTCTCCCCCTTTTCGTCATTACGTGTTGGCCGGTCAGACCTCCTCGCGCCCTCCCCTCATCTGTCTCCCCCCCTCCTCCTTCCCTCCCTGGGTCTTT